TAATGCACAGATTATGTTTTATTCTTTATTATGCATAAAATCATAGTTAGTACATACAAACACAACATACAAATATTAAATAATTTCAAATATTCCATTAAGCATGACGTATTAATGCTTTAAGCCGTTTGGTCCCAACTGCTGGTCTTTGATTTTGTTTGTCATGCGCTGCTTTGTTTCTGTAGGTGACCGCCGGCCCACATCTGCAGGGTCCTGTTGAAGAAACAGATGTAATGATTTAATAATTTAATGAGTGATTCTTAGAGAAAATCTAAAGACGTATTGCTTCTACCATGAGGGGGTCTGTGAATTGAAAAGGATATGATACTCGTCCCAGATTCATTTATATTGGAATATAATACAGTTTTAAATAGAGGATGCAGAAAACTTTAGCTGTAGTGTTTCAGTTTTTAAATAAGTCTAAGTAAAGCTCGGAGATAGAAGGGACTAACCATCTTCAAGGTGAGTTGAGACACTGACTGAGGGGCTTGATGGTTCTGCCTCCACAGTTTGAGCTTCCACTGAACCTTGTTGATTTCCACACCCAGTTTGTTTTCTGTGGAGGCGGCTCCCCGTGGGGTCCCGGCATGCACAGGGTTCCTGTCAGGTAAAGGTGCTTCCTTTGGGGATTTGGAAGCCATGGGATCACCTTGTACAGAAGAGGCTTGAGGCTTCTGCTGCAGCAGGTCCTGCCTCAGTTGCTCAGGGATCTTAGGTTTTGGCACAGCTTCTCTCTGGAGAGATTTGGTGCGCATGGGTGTGTCTTCAGGAGACACTGTGGGCACTGGTGCACCCTGTGTCTTCTTCTGCCTCCACGGCTCCTTGGTCTTCAGGGTTGCATCTGGGAAGCCTGAGTGCGGAGATTCAGCCTTTTCAGATTCATCACTGAAGACCAGGGATGTGGGGCATGCAGTTTCTCCTGCCTCCATTGTTTCCCACCACCGCACTGAGGTGAGGTCCCCATACTCCGGCTCTTCAGATATAGGAGAAGAAACAGTGAGGGCAGCGGTGAGCTCATCTGAGAGCTCAGGAGATGAGGACTGCACTGCACTCTGAAAATATTGATTAAAAATTCAGATGTCCAAAGTGTAAAGAGGATACTCACGATCACTCGCCAAAACTAGCCACAAAATAGACTTGTTCGGCATTGCTGGGAACGCCCACAAAAACGTCATAACCGTTTATGCCGAGGGGGAAAACAAACCATTCTAATTAACGCGCGGAGACCTTGTTAGGCGCTTGGTCTTTACTTTTTGTGATCATTTCGATTGATTTTTGCTTGGTTGCAATGCCGAAAAGTTGCTGTGTGGCGTTCTGTACCTCTAATAAGTTAAAAACCCTGATCTAACGATGTATATGACTGATACCCTGCAATGATCTGTCGTTAGTCCCGACCCCTGCGCCGCAACCCAGTTCTGATGGGTTTACAGTCAGTAACCCTCCTTCGCATCGCAATCAAATAAACCTCACTCCCTGATATTTTGTGATGTCATAATCTATTAAAACATTTATTTCATATTATTATACACAATCCCTTACGAAAATTAGCAATGGTGTAACTATAGTAAAAGTATAGTAGGCCAACCATGTTTTTTTTGGGGCGTTTT